TGTCCTGTCTTGTGAAATTTTCTTATTTATTGTTGTAGTCTTCTTATTTATTGTTATTGTCATCCTGTAAAGCGCTTTGAGAAGCCACCTTTAAAGGCGCTATATAAAATAAAGTTTATTATTATATTATTATTATCTTAAGTTCATTGGATGTTCCACAACACTACTGGAACAATATTTTATGGCCAGATGAGACAAAAGTTGAACGTTTTGGTAAATGTACTGTACACAGCATTATGTTTGGAGAAAACAAAACACTGCAATACCAACAACAAAACCTCATCCCAGCTGTGAAGCATGGTGGAGGAAGTATAACGGTGGGGCTGCTTTGCTGCCTCAGGGCCTGGACGGCTTGCAATTATTGAGGGACCAATGAATTCCAAGTTGTATCAGGACATTCTACAGTAAAATGTCAGGGCATCTGTCTGTGATCTAAAACTCAAAAGAAGTTGTGTCATGCAACAATGATCCAAAACACAGGAGTAAATCAACAAGTAAATTAACAGTGGCTCAAACAGAAGAAATTTCATATTTCGAACAGCCAAGTCCTGACTTCAATCCCATTGAAATGCTGTGGTGTGATCTGAAACAGGCCATTCAAGCAAGATATCCCACAGATATACATGAACTGATCAGGTCTGATCAGTAGCTACAGAAAGCATTTGGTTGAGGTTACTGCCAATAAAGAAGGTTCCACTAGTTACTAAACATAAGGGTTCACATACTTGTTCCATCAATGACCTTGGTTGTTTAAACCATTTGTTCAATAAAGATTATAGCAATGTAAAATGTTGTACGTGTTGTCAAATAAGACTGTCTTTATTACTATGACTTAGATGAAGATGAGATCACATTTTAGGAGTCATTCATGCAGAAATCCATATAATTCCCAAGAGTTCACAAACTTTTTCTCACAACTGTATATGCATAACAACATGTATAAGATTTCGGTTACTATAAATGTGTTCAGCATTCTGCAAACATCAGGCCTGTCTTAGAGCTCAAGTGTGTAGAGCACACAGGAAGGCAGCACATGAAATCAGAAACATGGGAAGTTTGGCAGAAATCAAAGTGACTCTTTTGGGAACATAAGCAGGGTTACAAATGTAAGGAAAGGATTCGATCTGTGTTGCATTTTTGGTAGTTTTTGTTGACAACCTCATACAGAAATTACTTATTTCCTCGCATAAATCAAGGAGAGATTAATAAAAATAAATGTGTCCACAAGCGTATTTTGGGGGTATTTCTGGAAGGCTGCAGGAAGGGGTTGGGGTATCGGCAGACACTGCGAGGTGATCAGTGGGCCTGGCAGCTGCACAAGGTGACCCGGACTGGACTGGCTTTGATGAACACGATCACCAGTCAGATAGGTTTTATAGTTGATGCAATTATGACACGAGCCAACTAAAAACACTCTGCTCTGTGTTCATAAACTGCTACCACACTGAAAAAATCACAAACACACCCTGTAAATGTGACCATGTGATATAGACAGCGCAATAGATTAGGTTCAATAAAAACCAAAAAAGAAGCCAAGACAAATATACTGTATTGTAGCAAATCTCTGTTTCAATAATTCAAACAATAAAAATAGAAGGAACACCCATGATTCAAAATCAACAGAAGAATGAGTGAACAAGTGACACTTAGAACTAAAAGGACACAATCATGGCAACACAGTGGAAGAAACGTTCTCTATGAAGAATAGTAAGAGAAATACAAATTCAGTCTTCACAATATTGCATATTTCAACACATGGACATGTTATGCACAAAGAGTTCTTAAATGGTCCATGACTTGAGGCTTTCTCACACCCTCTCAATTCTAACCTCTGTCACACCTGACGAATGACTCGAACAGAATCCTGTCTTGCCAACACGTACAGACCTCGTTTTTAGTACACAACTCCACTATGGAAAAACTCTTACAACTGAATTCACACAGAGGATTAAAGTTAATGGGTGTATGAATTTAACTGCTAGTTTATATAAGTATTTACACTCAAATATACTCCGTGATCTTCTCGCAAAATTTGTAAAAATATTCCTCAGGAAATCCTTTGGCCTCCTCCCCATCTCTCACTGTATGCAGTCCATGACGTGGATCTGCAGGGTGTCCATGTCGGGTGCCTGGTACTGACATTTGGGGCAGCAGAAGTCGGGGAGCTCGTCTGTCATGCTGCGCCTCCGCAGGGAGAGGTCCTGCGCGGGACTGAACGGCACTGTGGCTCCGGGGAAACCTGGGCACAGAGGGGGGCAGGAGATAGGGGCACAAAGAGAAAAAGAAAGAAAGGGAGAGATAACAAGGAACCATGACATAAGTGAAGCATATGAACACCAGAGCCTCGAAGAAAAGGACGAGAACCTTTATCAGAGGCACTTTGAATTGCTTAACCAACAGGCACTCTACACAATAAAATATTGCTTTTCAACTCAATCCAGTTCACTGCACTGCTGTCAACCAAGCATCCATGTCAAGAAGGAAATGTCGTGAATATACCAGGCTGAGGGGGCAGCAGTGGCCGCTGCTGGGGGAGCTGGTGGTGGTAATCCAGATGTCTCTGCTGCATCTCCTCCATTCGGGCCCTGCAAGAGGGGGACAAGTACTGTGAGTGTAATCAGTAGGGTGCTAATGTTCACTTCAAGTGCCTGTGCTGCATTATATTAAACTGTTAGACAGTCTGTATGCTGTCTGAACCATTCTCCCAGGATAAAAGTGGCTTTTTGCTCCGCACAGCTAATACAACAACCACTCTTATGTTATGTGCACATCACTGTAATTTCCCCTTGCAGAGAGTACACGTGTTCCAATACACTAAAGTACATCAATGTTAAAATAATCCAAACCAAACACTGCTGGATTAAAGGAACAAGTAAAAGTTTATTCCATGCTAAAAAGAGAAGAAACAATGTTTTTGCTGTGGAGCCTTCCTTGGGTGTGGAAGGGTCACCCAAAGAAGGCTCCACAGCTGGAACATTGCATTTCTTTTCTTCTCTTTTCAGCAGGGAATAAACCTTTACTTGTTCCTTTGCAGCCTACGCATGCTGACGCAGCTGCCTACCTGAACTACCGCAGGATTAAGGTAAAAAGCAATGAAGACATCAACGGATTAGGTGTTCAATTTCAGGTGTTCCTGTACAACATAGAGGAAGATAAAACTGGAAGAGAGGTTTTTACTGCAGACAAGGGGTGCAAGACAGCACTGACCTGGCCGTCCCCTCCGCCAGCAACCGCTCTCTGTCCACCTGCAGCTGGGCAAGTTGCTCTTGCAAAGCTTCCTTTTGCTCATGGAGCTTCTCCCGAGCCTCGCGCTCTGCCAGGAAATCTGCCTTGTAGATCTCCGCCTGGGACACAGCACAGTCACTCAATGCGGGTGTGTGCCTGCCAGCAGCTCAATGTCAGTGAGTGTCTGAGTCTCTGAGCGAGTCTACCTGTGCAGTAAGAACAGGCACGGTCTCCAGAGCTCCCCTCTGCTGCTCCACCTGCTCCTTCAGCTTGTCGATGAGGTCCTGCTTCATAGCCAGAGCTCTCTCTGCCTCCTGAAGTTGAGCTGCAAGGTCTTCCAGCTCAGCACCCTGGACACAGAGAGGCAGACTATAGCCTTCAGACTGATTAAGCCTCCTCTAATGCAGTGCACTACACTGCCGTCAGAGCAACACAATCAAGACACAGAGGAGAATACAGAGCAGGCAAATCCAACAACTTCGTCTTGTGCTTCATGCAAGGGGTAACACAGGTGCTCATGCAAAGGGCTGATATTTATACCACAGCTGTTCCTAAACAGGGAACTTAATTTTGTCATCATAGAAACAAAATCATTCAGGGAGGAATTACATTTTATATTTTTTTCTTGCTACAGTGCTGCAAGATTGTTCATTGAGATTTGATCGATAAAAATGATTGTGTTGCTGTAGAAAAATACAGAACACATTAAAACTAACAAAACCAAGCCACCTTAACATACAGACAACGTCCATCATCCACAAAAGTTTCTTAAGCGATATGTTGCACATCAAAGGCTTACCATCGAGTATGTTATACCTTATCATTTAATAACCTTTAATAAATGTGGATGTATACACATCATGCTAACCTGTAACATAAAAATACTACTGAGTAATTAAAGGACTATACCCAGTATGCAGAGCATTTATGGGAAATCTGGACAATTTTACAGTACAAGAATGCTCCAACATTTCAATCTGACAGCACTGAGCGAATAAAAAACAGGCAGCAATCACGCAGCAAGACAAATGGGCGAGAGTGCTGACAGACCCGCTGCTTGGCAGCTGTCTCGTTCTTCAGTCTCATGTCATAGTCCTGGAAGAGCTGGGTGTAGGCATGCTGCAGCTGAGCCAGCTTCCGCCTGTAACAGAGGGGGAGAGTGGAGACAGAGCGACTGACACGAAAATACAAAGCACTTGACAGCAGGGATAACAGTAGTCTAAGACAGAAGGTAATGAAACCAATGTGGCTGCCTGCTGCATTCTTCTGTGGTGCTGCACTGGACTGTGAAGTTCATCGCAGTGAAGGTTATGTGGTTCTCATGCAGTCTTGCAAAACCTTTTCAAAACTGCATTCAAAATAATCAGCGTTGAGTCCTTTAACACAAACTGAAAATGGACTGACATGACCACAAAATAACTGCTTTGTATTTTTACCGTGCACCATCTTGAAAGATTTAGCTTGAAAACAGCTCCAGAAGGCAGATACATGTTGCTGTAGAGCTACAAAACGCACTGTTACATTCTCTACTGCACAGCTGACTCACTTCTCCTCGGTGACGATGTGTCTCTCTGTCTTCAGCGCTGACTCCAGGCTCTGTGTCTGCAGCCTCAGCTGATCAGTGGCCACACTGTGCTGCTTCTTCATCTGCTCCGTCTCCCTCTCCAAAGACTGCAGCGCTTCGCTCGTCCTGCGCAGCCTGGACATGCACATGCACACGCATAAGAACATAAGAAAATCTTACGACGCAAACAGGCCATTCAGCCCATCACAGCTCTCCATCTTCCTGTTCACTGAGTGATTCTATCACCGCGTCAAGCTGAACTCTGAAAGATCCCAGCGTATCAGCCTCCACAACGTGGGTTGGCAATCCATTCCCCGCATTAATAACTCACTGTGCAAAACCATTTTCTAGTATCAGCACTGAATCACGCTTAACAAGTTTCCACTTGTGTCTTCACACATACAAACAGCTGACAGATGATGTGCTGTTTCTACATAGATACAACCACACTAAACACTGTCTGAAATCACGACAATGTTCATCTGCCATTGAAATAAAATAAAAACAATCATAAATTCTGCAGTCTGGATTCCACCACACAGTAATGGAGTGCTACTATCACATGTACATGTTAACTGAAGGGAAGATGCCCTCTGAAACAGTGAGTTACTCTACTTCTCTGTCATAAAGAAGTGAAACTGCAGAGATTATTCATGCAGACTTACTTGTCTTCCATCATGTCCTTCTCCTGCTCACTCTTCTCCAGGCAGCTCTGGCTCTCCTGTAGCTCTGCCAGCAGAGACGTGACCTGGGCCTTCACAGACTCGCTGTCCTTCGAGAGCTGGGAGACAGCACACAGACTCTCAGTCACCAGGGTGTCGCAGACACACAGACACATGGAACAGCACAAAGACACAAAACTTCAACTTGAATCCTTCCAGGTCCGAAAGAATCTCCTTGGCAACCATTATTCACTACTTCATCACAACTCATCACAGTCTAATTGAACTGCTGAGTGCTCAGCTATGGTAAATGCCAGAAGAGCATGGAGTCCTCCAGATGAAGAAATGAGAATCCCACTGCACTTTTATTAAAATCTTTAAATCCCAAACTGTTTAGCCCACAGAAGCTACACAATTTCTGAAAGCCTTACTTTTTTCATTTGCTAGATGACTGATGACCGGCTCAGCCATGAGTCGGGTGAGCACAGGCAGCACAAGTGTCACATTGTACCTGCAGGCTCTGCTCCCTCTCGAGCTGTAGATCCCTATCCCGCTGTTTCCTCAAGGTTTCCGAATGCTCCAGCCGGGCTTCTGCCATCTTCAAGGCCTCAATCTTAGCATGCAACTCAGTCTCCAACTGCTCTTTCCTGTTTGCAGACAGTGCATTCAAAGGCACACACTGTACTCATTCACAGTATTTGTAACACACACAAGGAAGGCTCCACGGCCGAAACTGTTTCTTTCCCCCTCTTTCCAGCAGCACACCCCTCCCCTTCGCATGCACCTTACCTGGCGTCTGTGATGCTGATCTGCTCCGACAGCTGGGCCACCTTCCTGCGCAGCTCCGAGCCCGTCTCATCAGCACTGAGCCCGGCACAGACAACAGCATTCGCACAACTCAGTTAGCCTTTCTTGTGACATGATACCGACATATATTTTTGGAGTTTTAATTAACAATATCATTGCATGTTAGTTATTTTTTTTGACAATACAGAATTCTAATCCCTTTCACCTTCCAAAGAACAAGGTTTATGGCGACAGAGATCCGAGTGAGACTAAAGAGTCGGTGCTCTATACCTGTTGGCCCTCTGCAGTCTCTCCTGGGTCACTGTGCCCTGGGGTTCCTCACTGCCCCCTTCAGGCTCCCTGCTGTCCTGCACAGCACAGCAACATGAGGAGAAACACAAATGGGGTTATGTCAACTTGAGTAATTATTAAATGAAAAATTTAAACAGGGCTGCTGTCTTGGACAGTAACAGTACTGCTGTACAAATGCACCTTAATCTGGGTCAGTTCACTCTGCAGCTGGACATTGGCACTTAACAGCTCCTCCTTCTCCTTTTCCAACAGCTGATTGCGTCTCCTCAGCTCCCTCAGCGACTCCTCCAGCTCCTCCTTGTGAGCCTTCAGCAGCTTCAGGAATGCGTTTGCTCCTTCACTGGGCTGGACAAGGGGAGAGGGCAGAGAGGCCAAGGAAAGAAACATGCAGAAGACTGAGAACTTAAATTGCATCTCAGAACATGAACACACTGTCCTTCTCGGTCACTGCTCACTTTATTTCCTTAATCATACAGTTCTAGTGAGATCTTTGTCCACTGGGAAATGGTACATAAAACCTGAAGATACACAGAGTCAACCAGACACGGGTAGAAAAACATCTTCCAGTGTGGTCCCATCATGCCTGCTCAGGCAGGACCACATCCTCCGGACACCGGACACTGTGTCCTCACTACGCCTGGACACTGGGTAGGGGCAGAACTTTCAAGCCCTGCTAAACCACTGAAAACATACACATCTGGGATCTCTAATCCATTAGGATGCTCTCTGCCACAGGAGATTTCACAGGAGGTGCCTCAAATCCCAGCTGTGCTGCATTACACTGTTTTTCCAGTAAACTCTTAAGAGACAGTTTCACAGAAAAAGAGTATAGCAACAAGTCTAGACTTATTACCCAAACTAACTGTTTTGCTCTGGGATTGGTGATAACTGGAGTCTAGTCATCTCATTTTGTAATTATAAACCAAAGAATAAACAGAAAACCATGTTTACATTCCAGCAAAACAAACATACTTGTAAATATAACCCTGAGGCAGCAGGAGCCCAGCACCTGGCTTGTTAAGATGCCAGTGGCAGTGGGCTTTTTTGCTTCGGGAGTAGGGTTGGGTACTTTGCCCTTAAGAACAGAAGTAAGGTTACAGATGAAAGTAGGCCATTCAACCCCACTTGACCATTTAGTTGTTAGAAACAAACTGATCTGATAAACACTGATCCAGATGTTTCTTGAAAGATGCCAAGGTATCGGTTTTGACAATATTGCTGGGTAGCTCGCCCCCACAACCATTGGTATAAAAATATGCCAAAGGATATTAACACTACAAAAGAGACTCAAACCCATGTCGATCTCAGAGGCACAGTGCCTTATTCATCTTGACGCCACATTGACTGGATACAAAATAAGCCCAGCCTTACACAGCAGTTTGATCTGTTCAATTTTTACTGCTACAGTCATCGCACAACCTATATTATGCACAATTGCAAAAACAGTATATATGAAATTAACTCATCAACTGCTCATGAAAATATCCTCAAATATACTCAAAACGAGGCAGAATTGCAGGAGTTTTCAGTTTACACTAGAAAGCCTGAAACACATGGCAATACATGGTGTGCAGCCAGAGTCTAACTTGTCTTCCAGATGCTGTAGATACATGTAATTTTGGAATACTGTAGTTGTTCTGAAGACATGCAAGCAAGATGTACAAGTACAGTTAGAGAACACAGATGTGTAATAAAAGAGTAGAAGGCAAATTACATTCTTAATAATTTTGTTTCTTTTTAATAGTATTTACAAATTCTTTAAAACAATAACTGTAGTACCAGTAACCACACACCGTAAAAGTGTCCTTGTAGTAACCCAGCCTACATCGGGTTGGGTGACAAGGTTGAAGGGTGGCAAAGAATAATTACAAGCCAAATATCTGACTTCTGTTCTGTAAAGTTAAGGGCATAATAATTTGAATTTAGTTAGAAAATATCCTATATGGATCATAATACACAGTAAAAATAGTTTTTAGAAAAGATACATATTGCCTAACCAACTTGGAAGGTATTTTCTTAATTAACAGCAGCAATAAATATGCACAGCGCCAATGATATGGTGTATTGAGATTTTATGATGTTTTTCGATAAACACACTCTTAAGGTTGAATTCTCAAATTAGGGGCCCTAAGCATTCAAGGAAACTCATGTTTGGATTGAGTGAAACAGAAAGCAGTGTACAGATAAGGGGGATGTTCAAAGTGGGCTGGTTAGTGGAGTCTCAGAAGGACCTGTAGTAGGACTACTGTTCTTCCCAATTCAAATCAGAAATCTGAATCCTGGTATAGGGTTGGAAACTAATCATATTACCACAGATGTTACCAAAGTAAGACTGTAAAACCATCTGCCAGGTGATACTTCACGTAGACAAGTGCAAGTATTTTGTATGCAGATCACTAACATCACTAACAGGGGCTGAATGGCCTCTTCTCATTTACAGCTGTTCGTATGTAAATGATTCTAAAGTGAGGTTTTGCCACATGTGACTGTTTCTCTAAAAGCCAAGCTCTTTTCAGGAAACTCTTTTAATTGAACCATAATAAACATCATCTTGATTTTGTTTTGTTGTAGAAAGGGCACATTCTTCCAAACACAACAGGTTGATCTTGAGACCATGCCTCGAAAGAGAAGGGGTCTGGCAGGGTTCGGCCTCCCTGCCGTGCCCGTGTGTCTCACCTGGCTGCGCACTCTCTCGGCCTCCCCACAGTCGGGCTGCTCGGGCTCGGAGGAGAGGCTGTCGAACAGGCTCTGAGTGACAGTGCCCTGGGAGCACACTGAGCTGGACGCACTGGAAAGAGCCTGAGTACACACACACACAGACTTACTCACAGACCTCTGGCTCAACAGGAGTGCTCGCAGTCACACAAGCAAGAAAGAAAGGAGAGGCTGTGACGGCTCAACCAGCCCCCTGCTGACTGATTAGCTCATGGGGGGAGTCAAACTCAGTTCCCAGGGCACTGGGGATCTAGGGCTTTCATTTCAATTCAAACCTCCGAATTACAATAACTGAACTAGTATTCAGTAATTACAAAACTGTCCTTTTTCCTCCACTAACCAAGCCTGTCACATTCACTAAGCCAAGAGGCTCAGCAGGACAAAAGCCGAGACTTTGGGCTCCTTCAGGAACTGATTCCAACACCCCGAATCAAGAAGACAACAGCGAGCAAACACAGCACTCAGGAGCACCAAGCAGAGTTCATTTCCTCTCCTCTGTTCGTTTGCATTCATTATTCTCAATGTTACAACTCATTATGAAAGATTCAAAGGCCTTTTCTTTGATTTTGTACCACGAGCAAACCCCATATTAATGCAGGCAGCTGGTCAGAGAGCTGCCAACAGGAAAAGACATCCTGTGCTTGGTTACACCACTGCTGTACACACCAGCCCCCAGGACTGCTCTAGAGCCTGGCTGGGCTGCCCTGACTCCGAGGGGAGTCAATGCTATATTTCATAAAATACTCCAGGTAGAATGAATAACAATCCAGCTCTTTTCCCGGTGGGAGGAACCTTTTCAATTCTCTCCTCCTGGAGTCTTTATTCCAAAAACAAACTCTTAAACATGAAAGTTTTCTACAGCTGCAGCATCACTGAAGGAACTGAGGTCTGGCAGGTTCTTAATCACTCAGCTGACCATCAGTCCAGCAACACTGAATAGAGATGAGGCTGCTGCACCAGTCGGACTGGGAGTCAGTGCAGCGACACAGCGATCACTGATAAACTCCCTTTTCAGTCATTCATTTCAGGTTTCGTCAGCTGCAGACTCTATAGCACAAACCGTACTTATAAATTATTTATTTAAACTGATATACTTAGGACTTTAACTTATTGTACTCTTGAAAATGTTTTTCTTTTATAATACAATTTCTAGTAACTGGGGTAGCTCTATGTGAGAGACTGCAACTCATACAACCTAAAATAAAACTTGTGCTCAATGGGAGTCTGTTCATACTTCAGCAGTATTAGTCCAGTGCGTGTTACAGCACTAACCCAGTGAATCAGTGATCAGCTCTGGGGCTCAGTCTCAGTGTGGTTAGTGCAATGGCAGTGTGAGTGCAGTATCAGCACAGCGTCGGCTCGTGCAGTGCAGGTTAGTCGGCGCTCGAGCGGCCGGGAGGCATCTCACCATGCTCTGAGGAGGGCTTTCTGGCTGCCTCTCCCTCGCTGCCTTCACTCCTGCCTCCAGCACCCCCTCCTCTGAGCTACTGTCCAGGCTCTCCTGCAAAACACAACACAGACACCATCACGCTCCTGAGCAGGGCTGCACACAGTACAACGGCAACTGGAAATATACGGAGTGAGCAGGAATGTCAAGCTCAGCTGCTCCAGGCCTGCGACCCCCCAGGATGCACCCTGATGTACACTCAACCGTGGGAGTAACCAAGATAGGCGAAAGCCTAAATTGCAGGTAAGGAGAGACTTCCTGTTACTCTAGCTATTAGACCCATCTAGATTTAATGAAGAAACCAAGAAGCTCCAGCAGTTTCTAACTTTAATCACCACAACAAAGTATTTTACATATTAATCTGCAGCTGAAACATCTGCACACCTCAGGACTGGGTACCTGGCGGCTGCTCTGGGGAGATGGGCTGGGGTTCTGGCTCAGAGTGTGGTTCTGGTTCTGAAGCAGATGGCGGTTCAGCTGCCCCTGCAGGAGATGGTTCTCCCTGCTGAGCCGCTCCACCAGCTCCCGGGCTTCTCTGAACTTCTCCATCAGAAACTGGCGCTCCTGGCGGTTTTTCAGCCGGAAACTCAGCATCTCCTCGTAGCGATCCCTCAGCGCCTGGTTACTCTGCCTGATAGCATCTGACCGGCACAGGAAAGAAAAATCCAGTTCAGCAAGCAGAAAAGGAGTAAAAAGAGAAGACCATACTAAAGGAAGATTTTCAATTAATTTTAGAAAAAACTCCTTTGGTATACACAGAATTATTAATTTTCCAGAGATTCGCAAAACCCAAAACAGTGGAAGCTACTACACCGAGATCTGTTACAGTTCAGCTCGACACTGACAAGAGTCACACTCTACACAGGAACAGTGCAAGCTCTGATGGACTAAAGTTCTTGACACTTTAATATACATGTGCTTTGGAGCTTCAAAGAAGGAGAAGCCTATTGTTATTTCCAATATAATAGTGTTAATTGTGCTTTTCCACAGGAATCCAAAGCACCTCACATATAAGAGGGGACCCACTTCATTCACCCCTGAAGTGCAGCAGAGCTGCCTTTCTACACCAGCAGCTCCACCACACAGGAAGTGAGCGATTCCTTCAACAACGAGCAGGGGGGAGTTTCAGGGGGACTGTGTTTAGCCCAGACTCCAAGGCTGTATGGGCTTGAGTGCCACACAGGGCAGGAGTCACGTGATTGGTGTTCAGGGCAGTCGGAAATTTAACCAAAGACCTGAACAGCACGGGAAGACAGTAAGTGTAGTAACAGAGCGGTACGCAGACAACTCAGTCATAGTCAATGATCGATAGAACCGACAGTCGAAGGACTTTGCACTCGCAAGTTTAATGTATTTTATCCTGGGGTCCTGATCAATGTCACAGATCGGGGGCAGAGTGCTGGTACCTCGCAGGTCCTGGTTCTCTGCCAGCAGCCTCTGGACGATCTCGTTGCCCGCCAGCTCTGGGGGGATCTGTGTCGACCCCTGACCCCGCAGCCCCATCGACCCGTCTCCACCAATCATGTCTGACTTCAGCTCGTTACCCATGAGGCCTTTGGGCTGGACCATGGTCTCCACACGCTGTAACTGAACAAACAGCAACACAGAGTTCGTTAGTCAATCGCTTCTCCTGTTGATAAGTACAAAGACACTGACTTGGTTTGTTAAAACTAACCAAGACCATGACTTGCAAAAATGAGTATTTTATTGAACAGTTATTAAGTGGGCTCCCACCCAAGTTAAAGAGATTCTGAAAGCGACTCTGCTTCCCCATCACACAATAAGCAGTTTTAATCTTTAAAACGAACCCAAACCCTTTCAATATTATGCATTAAGAGATTATCAAATCACACACGAGAGAAGGGATCTTGTTAAAATTACGGTTTAGCAGACCACAGAAACAGCCCTCGTGGTAACCAGATTATGAAAACTGAACAGTAACCAGGGGTCCAGTGTTTACCTTTACCGCTCGTGAACGTTTAAAAAAGACCCTTGAAGAAAAAGTCAGAAATCAGTGCGATCAAGCTGTGTCGTAGGCTATGCAGTGTGAACCGAGCACAGTGCCAGCCCCTGCTCAGAGTCCAGACGCTGGAGCCGAACCAGAACCCGCCCGCTACAGTGTCAGCGGAGCAGCCGCGTCCCCGGCCGGTTCCGATCCACGGGAAGGTCCCGTTCGCCCGAGCCCTATCTTCCTGAATCTGCCCCGGCTGAACAGCCGCTTTCAGTTTCGCTGCAGTCGATGGAGGGAGGGGCCGGGGTGACGCGGCCGGGCGACTTCTCTGGCGATATTAACCCTTCGTGGTCTCGCACGTCGCTTCACAACAAAACACACCCAGGATACTTCTCGGGTGTATTTATTTTGAACTATGGTTGGGGATATTAACAATCTGAACCAGCGTGCTGGACCTCGGGAAACCGTAAACACTGTCGGCGGAGTCCCTGCACATTAATACAACGTCCGGCAGAGCGAGCTCTGCAAGTCGTGAGAATTTTAATTCTCCTGTTCTGCTCTGAGGATCCGAGGAGCTGCTCTGCAGTTCGGAACCGCTTCAGACCCCTCCTGCCATACCCTGAAGGGCAGGGCGGAGCTCTGCGTTAGAGTTGTCCCGGATTTAGGGCCAAGACAGGGCTGTGCAGATACTCCTGGAGAGATGTATAACAGCTCGGCTCCGTAAGCCTGCTCCCCGGCGGGTCTCCACACTCACCCCGGGTCTATAAGCTGCAGATTTAAAGGGAGTCCAGTCCGCGTTTCCGCCTCCGATTCACAAGTCGCACAGTCGTGGGCTCAACGCATGTCGCCTAATTTCAGCAGATGGAGCAAGAGAACTCGCTTTCTGCAGCGCCTGCGCCGCTCAGCCCCGGCTTGCTGCACGCTGTCCTCGCGGTCCCAGCGCCCCGGCCCAGCTCCTAGCTCGCGCAGGAAATCCCCGGCCCCGCGCAGCGCCCTACACTTCCGCGAGCTGCCCCATTGGCCGCGAGGCTCTTAAAGGGGAAGGGACCGGCTCTCGCGGGGGGCTGCAGTCGCAAATTTGTTTAAAATGTCATGTTTGTATTTACCGTGCTGTTTGCTTAGAATAACATACGACACATGCAGCCCATTTATTCTTGTAAATGTTTGTTCTCCCCCTCACACAACCCACGCGTTTACTCGCAGCGGTGTGATGTCATAACACTGGCATGTGATTAATACCTGATTTAAAAAAGGACAACAAATAATATTTAATCGCATTGTTATACTTTTGGTTAACACAAAGATAAGAGTATGAATACTCCTGCAGTGTAGAGAGCGGACCCGAGGAGGTATCCGAACCTCGAAGGACGAATCCTACAGGAAACACGGACCAGAGGAAACGAATGGAAACTGCGTGTCGATGGAACAGGAGGAATGCATTTACTCGAAGGGTTGCAGGGGAGTGGAACAGGCTGCCCAGCCACCCCGTTGAAGGCAGCATCCTGAGACCCTTCTATCAGTTTTATAATCCGGAGCCTGTTAGAGTATTAACTGAGGGTCTGAGAGGAACCGAATTTGCGTGAGGTACATGCAAAGACCTACGGTGAGAGTGCAATTGCAGCTTGTGTGTGAAAACTGCTGCTTTAACCCCGCGCTCCCTCCCACACCGCCTCCGCTCGGCGTCACCCGCCACCGCGCCTGTCCCGCCTCTCGGAGCGCTGCGCCATTGTATTGGTCTGTGCCCCTGCCTGTCAGTGCAGGGTAAGCGAGCACGGGCCGCTGATTGGCTCGGGTGACCTGTCTGTCAGGGCAGGGCGGATCGTTGATTGGTCGTAGGCAGACCCTGAATCTGCTGGCCTCGAGCTCGCTGTTATCGAGCGCTTCAGTGACGTCATTGAAAACTCCCGAGATGGGCAGCCGACCGAGTGCTGGTGAGTTTCTTTCAACCAATAACCTTCCAGAAGGCGACCGAGTCATTTAAATGCGGGGTGACTATAGGGAAGTAAGCAAGAAGGGAAATTGGGAGTGTCACGATCCGAACCTGCTCCGGGATTTGCAGACTCGCTGTTCTTCACAAGTAAGTGCAGAGGTGCGCGTTGGCGCCGGTGCCGGTCGCTCAGATGCTCCAGCATCGCCCGGCTGCCCCGGGCTCCGCTGGGCTGGCGGTGGTGTCGGGGTCAGTGCAGCGGGGCTGTGGGCGGATAGTGCCCCTCTGCGCGCAGTGTCACTGTGCCACTGACTAGCCCAGCTATGCAAAAAGCGAGGTGAGGCGGCCAATGCGTCTTGCTAATAGTAGCTTTGAAGTGAGATCAGTCTTCTGTTGGTAAGCACGATTATCGCGGATTAGTCCTTGGTGATGGCTGCATCCCAGGGTGTTCAGGCATAGTCCCTCACACGCGGGCTGAGTTGCAAACTCCAGGAGTTTGCTTATTTTGTACTGTTACACTATGAATGGAGTACACTATAACGTAGTTTTTTTCATGTTATGCCCACCTTTTCTCTTTTTGCAATTGAATCAGGCGCTATAGGTCAGATGTGAAAACCTGCTCTGGGTTAAGCTCGTTACTCCAGAGTGCTGTTTATGGGTTAGAGTGCATTAACATCCTCGACAAAATAAGTATACTATAGTTTGAGTAATTACTGTATTTGTCCATTTGTAAGTACTGACAGAAATATAATATCTTTACTAAAAATTAATATTAATTTTTGTTTTAATATTTAATGGGGTTTTATTAATACATTCTTTTACCTTGTGGTAAATAAATTAAATGCAAAATTAGTTTCTGTATCAGTTAATAAGTAAGATAGTAGACGGCTGCCATCTGTCCCTGAGTTTAGACAACCAGGTTTATTTAGAATGTTACATTCAGGGACTTCAGTGATGAAGAGGCTGCTGTTGCTCTCGATACTGAGGCTGACCTGCCTGTTCCTGACGCTGGACGTTCCAGGCTGTGTCTCCTTCCATTCAGGAGAGCTCTGTCCATCCCTTGTGCAGAGATCTGCAGCCTGTCTCCTGGAGAACACAGCTCAGTATTAGTCAGCAGATCTGGGAAACGTGTAAACAAGCAATTCAGTAAATAACCAGTAACAAAAAGACATTTGCAGTTCTACTGAAATGAAATCCCCAGTCTCTTGTCTCGCTTTGTCTCCAGAGAGAATGAATTCTCCACCGCAGACCCCACTGAGCCGATCAGAGGTCTTCGGTCAGCTGAGGAAGGAGCTGTATGATGATGAGGAGTTCCACCAGTCCGACACCCACATTTTCATCATCATGGGTGCTTCTGTGAGTACCCCTTTTCTGCAGTTTGCGCTGCATGAAGAGAATCAGCTCCATGAGTGTTTGGGGTGTCTGGTGTGTGGTGTGCTTGGTGCTGCCAGTCTAGTGATCGATTATCAGTGATCCTATCATTTGCCTTGATTTCAAATGGCTCACAAGGTCCACAGCTCTCTATTCTGTTAATTTGTGCAGTGTTTCTGTTCAGATATTGCCACGATCCTGTTGTCAAGCTGGGGGGGGGGTAATGTGAGCTCCCTGTAGCTTCTGAGAAGTGCAGTTCTCTGACCTGAGCAGGCAGGGAGTCAGGACAGGGAAGCGATGGGTTTGATTACAGTCAGTGAGCAGAACGCATGAACATTTTCATTATCAAGCTGCCTCAGGGAACATGTGATTGTTTCTTCATTATGTTTTTCAGCCTGACTGGGGTAATTTCCCATCCTTGGGGAAATAAAAAGAGTTTCTATTACTGTGGTTTAAAAGTAGCTGTTGTCCTGTGGTGATTTGTACTGGGAACGGCACTGATGTACCCAGCCCTCCCCTCTGCCTCTGATGAAAGTGCAGCCGTTCACTGGTCCTGCAACAAAGGCAGGATACAGCCTGAATGTGCTAATACAGCTGTTTGGACTGTCTGGAAGAGAAGCTTCAGTCTCTGTTTAATTTGGGAATATCTAGACGTTTTACAGACTTACCGTATGGATTTTCATAAGTTATTTCAGAGTAAAAACATCTGATTTTCTGAAACTCTTCTTCAATGTTTTTATTTTTTATTCTGTCAAGAGACAACATACCTGTGCTTGCCAAGTAAATAATGTAATTTTCCTAGTAACTGTAAAGTTACTTAACTTGGACAGGCAGTACAAATAAGGGTAGTTCCAGCTGAAGTCAAGCAAAGTCATCCTGTTGCTTCACAGTTGTTTGAAGAAATCACAGTAACCTTTTTTAACAAAGGCTGCTTGTTTGTATAAGGAAGAGTGTGGTGTGACAGCAGTTTGTGCAGAGTCACTGCTGCTCAGCACTTTCCCTCCGAACGGAGCTGCAGGTGATCAGGCCGGGAGAGGGAGTATTTCAGGAATGGAGCTGGGAGGGAGGAAGTGGAAAGATTAGAGGACGGGGGGGTTACTATTGGTGTTTAACTAAAGATGTCTTTTTATGAGTTTTTATTCAGCTTTAAAAGGTACACAAGGAAAAAAGATCAAGTTCACAGTGTTCCACACGTTCTGAAATACAACAGTGTATAATCGCAGGACTGGAAATATTTCCAGGAGTCTGAGATTTCTCCAGTGTGTACAGTTCTCTTGTGAAGACCGATCTGGGTGTGACGAGAGACTCAGATATTTTTTGTATGATAAGAGAGTCAGGCCAGCAGCCCTGTGGCCGGGACATCGTCTGACTGTGCCCACAACAGGGCCACTGACTGCAGGCAGGTGAACATCGCTAAACTGCAGTGTCCAGGTTTGGACCCATTTTCTAAGGGGCAGTTTACAGTTTACTAGCAGAGCTGCTGACCAGCGGTGATGGAGCACTGTCGGGATCACTTGCTTTTCTTTGCCTTGAAGACTTTTTTCTTTCCACAGAGAGGGCTACTGCCTCTCAATTCTTCTGCATGAGCACACCGCAGGGCACTCTGTCTGTAGCGTGGTACAAAATGTGACTTGGACAGAAAATTGCTGCTTTCAATATTTAAAATACACAACATTCTGAATATTTTCTAATATTCCTGACATTTTCTAAACAAGTATTCACCAAGATGCTGTTTCTGGGTTCTCGCCACTGCACTTGCAGTAGGGCTGGAGGCCAACATGTGATCCAGGGAAGCAGTTGGAAGGATTGATTTGCTTTTGTATAAAACTGGAGGTGATGCAGCCCCCAACTGCACGCTGTGTTTTCAGCTTCCTGGTGCTGAAGGGACATACGTTTCCCTCAGTTCCAATTCTGGATAATATTGTCCCCAAACTTACCATTAAGATTATTCACAGGGGTGCAGTGGTCAGCATCGCTGCCTTGCAGCGCTGGGGCCCTGGGTTCAATCCCAGACCTGGGGTGCTGGCTGCGTGGTATATAGGTACAGGTATATAGACCTACTGGTGGGATAATGATCAGTGGTCTTCCGGGGAAGTTTGCCATGGTGTGAAAGTGTGCTTGCCTATCGGTGGACTGGGGTCCCATCCAGGGGACCCTGTCGTACGCCATTGCCTGCAGGGATAGGCTCCAGCTCCCATGTGACCCTGAACTGGAAGAAGCAGTGAGAAAGTAGATGGCTGGAAGATAAAGAGTTGTGGTGTCACCCTGTAAAGCAGTGCGTGTTGTGAAACTCTGGGGGAGCTGTTCCTAGTTGTTCAGACAGGGGGAGGTTGAAGCAAGCTTTGTTTATTGCAAAAGGATTCTTACTCAACATCTGCTTTTCTAGTAAAGTGCATATTGCACATTTCCTTATTCAGATAACATCTTCAAATAAGGAATATTTGTCAATCGAATGCAGCTTTGGCAGATGCATGTTTCTGCTGAGCTCTTCTATTTTATTTTGCACCTGAAAATACTGTGGATGTGATTTGTTTTCCATAAACCTTGTGGAACAATTGTCAGGTTTCTGCACATTTCAGGCCCCGCATGATCAAAGTCAGGCTATATCATTTACTGCTCTTGATACGTGCTTTGTTTTGAGCTAAGTGTTACTTTGTTTCATATTCTCTTGGCCATATTATCCAAGCTGCCTGTTATAGACAGGGCTCCACCTGGGAAGGTGTTTTACAGTGTATAACATACAGCACCTTGTGCATTCAGTCATGCTTTTATGCCAGAATCCTATGATTTTCTTACATTCCTGGATATGGCTGTTACTTTAAATCTAAAAATAATCAATGACCTGTTTTAAATAGAATGATGATAAATCTGCAGGGTACTGTAATTCTGGATGTTTATTCATACACACAATGAAATAGGGACATAAAATCATATATCAGTTACTTATGCATTATTTTTGTAATCATAATAGCAGTGCACAAAGCCATATTTGTCATAATTAACTTGAATCTGATGTAGATTATAGAGCTCTTTAGAAGAGAAATGCAACCCTCCAGAATTACATGCATTTCACTGTTGTGTATTGGTTTTGGTTTACTTGGAAACCAAAGGGTTTGATGGAGTGCCTCTGTACAGATGAAGGTTCATAGATTGTCCTCTCTGAAGTGCCAGAACCTCACAGCACATTACAGGAGGCGTCTAGACAGTGTAATCCCTGCCAGAATAGGATTTACAACGTGCTCCCTACAGAGGTTTAGCATAAGTAAATGTGAACCTTGTGTTTGCGGAACTTTATTTACAACCAACATGACTTTGCTCTGTGCAATGAAATTACGGTTCCTGTATAATATTTTTAGACTTTTTTTAAGAAGAAAACATTATCGAATATGTAAATATTTGATGTTTTTTGTTGCCATTTCATCACAGGTATGAATATATTTGGACGGCAATGAAAGTCATTATGATCTTTAGTATCCCATTAGGTGATTCTTTTAAAAAATGTAACTCGATTCTACTGAATCCAAACAAGTGGAGATTTCAATTTCTATGTGAGACTCTTTCCTAGATGCAGTGATACTGGAGTCTGAGATTTTGGCCAGATGTGTGTATTGCAGATCGTTCAATCAGAGCTGCCCAATGTTTCACAACCTGTCTCATGGTTATCATGTCAGCATATGCTGCTTGCGCTGTGCCAGAAACTCCACTGCTGTCCGAGATGGGTGATTGGAGGTGATTATGTCAGCAGATTATTGAGGGAGGATCTCGTCAGGTTGGGTGGAATGGTGGGGGATAAATTGAAAATGCTTCTCTATCAGTGACAGGGTATGGTGGTTTGAGTTTGCCTGCCTCAACCTGTAGTTGATAGGTAATATGCATAGGAACTGGGATACTGAGAAGTTCACTGGTGCAAATAAGTGCAGTTTTAAAGAAAAGCATTATGACAAAAAATGTAATTGAGTAAAGAAATACAACAATATCTGGCTGAACCAGGGGCTCCACGCGCATTCATACTGGAAGCACAAGTGGATGTATTGGGAATAAGCGTCTCGATGGCGCAGGTGTAGTCCTGTGGTGTCTGTGTCTCCGTGTCAAGAGAGGTTGGTGTGTGCACACAGTGGAGTCCTGGCCAGCTGCAGTGTAATCTTATTAACAAAAGCAGTTTAACATCACACTTGTCACTTCCAATAGAAAAAGAAGAGATTAACTTAATAGCATCATAACTACACAGATTTTATTGTCAAGAACATTGTTTTTTGCTTATTTGTGTTTATTGGAAGAGTTAGGTAATTCATTTTCTCCCTCTTCTCCATCCTTCTGTTACCATAGCTTTGTGTTCATTCAGTCAGGCTGCTCAGCTGGAATTAGCACTCCCTGTGCTGTGGATATAGAGCTTGTTGAGGAATCCTTGCACAGCAGTTTTGCAGCTGACAAACTCGTGTGTGCGTGTATCCCTGTGTCCATGTGTGTGTCCGGGTACCACTGCCCGGGCCCTGCAGCAGGATAGTGTGTGTGGAGTCTGCAAGCCCCTGAGAGAGATGGATTCTTACATCAGTCAGCACAGCTGTGTTGTGGTGGTTCTGGGCTCAGTGGTGAGTGGAGGTAGAGTAAGGGGAACGAGTGAGAAACTTTTATATAATGTTGCATAAATCTGTAGCTGCATCTGTGCTAATACAGATGGTTACCTGCAGAGAAGAACAAAGGAGCTGAACTGATGTAATTTGTTATACACACGTTTTGTGCACAATCTTGTTTATCTGGGCTTGCAAAGCAGTGGCTGATATAAAGGACTCTCCACGAACCCGTTCTCAATCTGTTTTTTTATCCATTTGTTTTCTATTACAGGGAGACCTGGCAAAAAAGAAGATATATCCCACACTTTGGTGAGTGCAATCTGTTTGCATATTCCTGCAGTATGAAACTGAGCCCTGTTAGGAAGCAACAGCTGAGTTAGGAGCACAGACATACAACTCGGCATCAGGTCAAGCAGGGCATGAAAAATATTTATTCCTTTTTTTGGAAAGTTTTGGAGATCTCGGACTGTCTCGCTATCCGAGGGAGATTGTTTTGATATTGCAGGGCTGTGTGCTGTCTCTCTGGCCCAGTGCTCACTGTGCTCTCACCTCTCACCTCTCTGTATCTCACAGGTGGCTGTTCAGGGACAGTCTGCTCCCAGAAGACACTCGCTTCGTGGGGTTTGCTCGTTCCAACCTGACTGTGGACGACATCCTCAAAAACAGCGGGCCGTATCTCAAGGTCAGAGAGACCAGGGGAGGGCTGTGGGAAAGAACGTGGGAACAAGGGAGATGGGGATCAGGACTGGGAAAAGGAAAGGAAATATGACTAATTTTTTCTACTTGGTGTCATTCAATAAACATATGTAATTTATTTTGCAATTGGCAAGTGCCTTTGTCCTGCGTTAAGTACACCTGCTAGATTCTGTGACGGCAGCCTTTAGCCTAATGTGGAAGAACAGAGATCATTTACCACAGGGCTGCATGAGGCTCAGTGGTCAACTTTGCTGCCTTGCAGTGCTGGGGCCCTGGGTTCAGTTCCAGACCTGGGCTGGTGTCTGCACTCAGGCTGAGTGGAGACATACTGGTACAGTAGGTTAAATTAGTTAAATTACAGACTGCTCAAGCCAAACTGCCCCACCACATTGCCTGCCTTATCGCAACTTTGCAACACATTCTTAGATTTCTTTAGTTCTAAGATTGATAATATCCGGCATCACATTCTCTCCACTACGCATATCATTTCCATACCTCCTCCCTCCTTACACTTATGAAACCCACCAGATCTATTTTAGATCCCATTCCCACCACTTTATTTCAGTCCCCTTTCTCTTCTCTCTGTCCCATTGTCCTCAATATTATACATGAATCTTTGAGCAATGGCACTGTACCAACGGTCCTCAAAACTGCTGCCATTACCCCCATGCCAAAAAAGCCTAACATGGCTCTCGACAACCTTAACAATTTTTGCCCCATCTCCAACTTACCCTTTCTTGCAAAAATTCTAGAACGTGCTGTCACACTTCAGTTACATAACCACCTCATGACAAACAACTTTTTCGAGCCCCTCCAATCTGGCTTCCGTCAACTTCACAGCACAGAAACTGCCCTGGTCAAAGTCACCAACGATCTTCTAATAGCTTCTGATTCTGGTTCTCTTTCTATACTCATCCTTCTTGATCTCAGTGCTGCTTTTGACACTGTTGACCATAACATCTTACTTTCTCGTCTTGAGACTGTGTTTGGAGTTTCTGACACTGCTCTCAAATGGTTCAAATCATACCTCACTGATCGCTCTCACTTTGTCTCTCTCAATGGGTACAGGTCTGAAAATGGTTTGTTAAGTCTGGTGTTCCTCAGGGCTCAATACTGGGCCCCTTGCTCTTGGTCAGCTTTTTAAGATCACATGGACTCAGCTATCATTTCTATGCTGCCAATACTCAAATATACATCCATACCAAACCTGACACTGATGTGGGTGTCTCTATTCTATCTAATTGCATCTCTGACATAAAAATTTGGATGACTCAAAACTTCCTTCATCTTAACTGCAACAAGACTGAAGTCATGCTTATTGGCACCCCCCATCGACTTCGTAAAGCCAGTCCTGTAACCCTATATGTAGATGGTTCTGTACTTGAGCTTCAATTTAAATTGAAAAACCTTGGGGTTATATTCGATTCTGGCTTAACATTCGACCCACATGTGCAGCATATTGTCAGAACATATTTTTTTCACCTCAGAAATATTGCTAGACTACACCCTATGCTATCACTAACTGTGGCTGAAAAGCTGATCAACACATTTGTGTTCTCTAGAATTGACTACTGTAATGCTCTACTCGCTGGGGTATCTATGTCTACTTTGAACAAACTGCAGTATGTCCATAATTCAGCAGACAGAATCCTGACCAGGTCTAGTGCAAATGATCACATTACTCCTATCCTGGAGTCCTTGCACTGGCTTCCTGTCAAATTCGGTGTGGACTTTAAAATCCTCATGCTCACCTACAAGGCTCTGCATGGCTTGGCACCTCAGTACCTGTCTGAACTTTTATCGCCCTATTCCCCATCTCGCAACCTTCGCTCCTCTAATTCTGGTCTCCTTACTGTCCCCCAAGCCTGTCTACATTGTATGGGTGACAGGACCTTCTCCTATTATGCCCCCAAGCTCTGGAACTCTCTGCCCAAGGATATCAGAGAGTCGCCTTCTCTAAACTCCTTCAAATCCAGACTCAAAACCTTCTTCTTTAGAAAAACCTTTACTGAACTGGTTCCATTCTTCACCCCTCTGCTTTTCTTAGTACCACCATCCACGGTCTCCTTTGTATATTGTAATTGTGTTTTATCTTGTGCATTCTTTTGATTTATTGTTGTTGTCATCCTGTAAAAGTCTATGCGAGGCTATATAAAATAAAGTTTATTATTATTATTATTATTATTACTACTACTTCTGGGAAGACTGTCCCAGGTGTGTGTGCATGTCTGTGTGTCTGTCCTGCATGGACCCTGAATTGGATGAAGTAGTTCGATAATGGATGGACAATGAAAAGTGTTAATGAGCACTCATGCATGCAAATCCTGAAGTACTTCCTGAGAAGAAATGAACATGATGGCATTACTGAGGGACTGAGAACAAGAATAAACAATGGAAATGTTTAGAAAATTTTCTTCGTTTCTCTCTGGTGCAGTTGCAATTTAGATTTAGTGGCACCTAGCAGGTCAACTAGAGGACAGCAAGAGAGGTACTTTCCTGAGAATCATCGCCAAGTTATGATCAAACCAGTTCTAACTGCAGAACAATTTAGAGCTGGGTAGCAACTGATCTGCATCTTTCAGGATTAAGTCTGTTTCCTGACTCTCTCTCTCTCACAGAAGTCGCTGACAAGCCCACTTGTCATGTTTGCAGATATCGATTTGTCCAGGAATGTAATCAATAGCAAAGGGTTTAATCAGGGGTATTAATCTGAAACAAGAAATACGCAGAATACAATTCTTGATAAACGTATTGACAATTTAGTGAAGACAAAGCCCAGATATAACCTCTAATCTCATAAGGATAAACAGTTCTTGTTTCAACAGGTAGACAATAAACTAAGCTTAAAACTACTGCACTGAACAAATTCTGATTTCATTAAATGTGTAAAAAATATTTTTTACACCTGGTGGAAGGTGATAGAAAAGCTTGGTTTGAGGGTGCAATCTGTTTCAACAAAACAGCTTGTACAGTGACAGTTTTAAATTATACCCATTGCACATGAATTAAAAGAAAGTATGTTACAAAGTCTGACAGCAAGCGACCAAGAGGCTTGCAATGAAAAGATGCAGTTAAAAAAGCTAAAATAAGTTTACAATGCAACATGTAAACGGCACGTTACTAAATCAGAGTCTTGGGGCACAAAGTGAAGAACTCCAACACACAAGAATGCACTAAACCTTGGTACCTAGTTTGTGACTCTGCAATAAATAATTAAATAAAATTCTGTTCTGCTCCCTACTGCAAGAAACAATTTATTGAACTGTTCCAAAATGTTTTTTTTCTGTCCTCCTGGTTCTGATCCAGTAGTGAGGGTGTTGCAGTATTTAGCTCAGAGTTTCCTATGTAGACTATAGGGGGGAAGTCAAAGGGTAGTGTTATTGTCTGTATTAGAGCTAATGTGAAGTTTCCATTAGCTCAACCTGACTCCAGCAGGCTGGTTTGTGCCTCCAGTGAAAGTCCCTGAAGTGGAGCTGCCTGCCATTGTAACGCCTGCTCTGACCTCTGGGTGGCGCAGTGATACACAGCTCCTCTGTGCATGTGCATGTGCAAAGTCAGCTAATTAATAAATGCAATTAATAAATCATTATCATCATCACTAAGAGCATTTAACTAACATAGCTTGCTAAACATTTGGTATTGTTACATATTTTGCTGTCTATGCAGGTATCTTTAGATCTGTGATTTTATCGGCTGCCATTTATGATGTACAGTCAGTTTTCCTATCACTTCTGTTTTCTTCTGCAAACACTCTTAATATGTCCTGATGGCCATAAAGGTAAGAATTGCTTTATTAAAGCCTCCTTTGGCCTTCCTGGTGAGCCCTTCTGGTTTTCCTTCTTGGCTACTTTCTCATGAAAATTTCATGTGAAAACTTTAACCTGCCCACCCTAACTGTACAGGTTTGAAAAGAGGCAAACTCTTGCCTTGAGACGTCTGGTCTGAGCTGCCCTTTCTGATGTGTTTGATCGGGGGAGTTTCTTGATCTTTATTGCTCAGAACTCAGACGTCCGTGTTCTAATGTGCCTTTTCCAAGGTGTTCAATTATCCTGTTAACATCAGGCGATGTGTGAGTTGCAGTATCACCTGTTGTGCCTGTAAGCTGCCATTGCAGTGAATACTGTGGTATTCAGTGATCCTCCTTGTCACTCACAATTTGAACTTCCAGCGCCCTTTTTTACTTTAAATTAAAAAAAATGTTTTCTCTGGCAGTGACAATGTGCAAATTCAAAATCAACTTAATTGTATGAACTGTATCATAAGCTTTGTGTGTGCAGGAGAGATGTCTCAGTATTTGCTTGCAGTATGACTTCTTTTCCTTACCAAGCAGCAGTAAAAATGAAAATGTGCGGTCTTTCATTGACTGAAGCCTTTGATTACCAGCACAACGTACCCTCCCAGCCCTGCATTCCCTCAGCTCACGGTCTGTATGCCTCTCTGTGTTCCCAGGCAGTGGAGTCGGAGCAGGAAAAGCTAACTCAGTTCTTCCAGCGGAACTCCTACCTTTCTGGGCGCTACGGCGAAGAGGCGTCGTTCCGCAGCCTCGATGCCCACATCTCCTCGCTGCCCAACGGGACCTGTGCCAATCGCCTCTTCTACCTGGCGCTGCCCCCGAGCGTGTACCAGGATGTCATCCGGAATATCCGCCGTGCCTGCATGAGCACCAAGTACGAACGTCCTGCAGCTCTGCTGCCACTGGGGGGCGCTGCTGTGCCCCTGTTCCTCATTGCTCTCAGTGCCAGAGGCCTGTTCCTCTTTTCCCAGTCATGTGACTGGTCCTGTGTTGCACCATCTCATCAGTGTTACTGTGTGACTCTGATCTGTATTTGGCTGCTGCAGCACGATTCCTGCACAACATTCATCCACAACACCACTGTCTGGGCAGAGGATAATTCCCACGGGCAAAATCACCTCTGCCTGCTTGAACTCTGCCAAAACGCTGCTCGAGTTTCCCTCTAGATTTCAGAGGGGGTGACGTCAGGGGCAGCACGAGCAGTGCTGTAATCTGCTTTTTGCGTAGGTGTATAGATTTGCATTGTCATGCTGTTATTGGAGAGAAGATTCACAATCAAAAGACACTTGTCTACTCGGTATGAGAAGAGTTTCTCAGAGTTTCTCTTGAACTGGGGTCTTGAATTGTCCTCAGGTCAGCCTGTCTCCTCACACTGTGTTTTCAGAAACTTTTTCAGAGATTTTTTTTTAAGTATATGAATTGAAAGTGGAGATTGTGTCTGTGGGGGTCCACAGTGGGGTCCAATGGTTATGTTTCTGGAGCACCAAATATTCATCCAAAGTAATAAGACTTTGTATGTATTGACCACTTCCCTCTCTTTATCCTTACTCATGTTTCTCTCTCCTTGTCTCCCAGGGGCTGGAATCGGGTGATTGTGGAGAAGCCTTTTGGGAAGGACCTGGAGAGCTCGGACCAGCTGTCCAAGCACCTGTCCTCACTGTTCTCAGAGGAGCAGATCTACCGCATTGACCACTACTTGGGGAAGGAGATGGTCCAGAACCTCATGGTGCTGAGGTCAGGACCTGGGGAAGCTCTCTCTCGAAACAAATGTCTACACAAATCAGCACCTGATCCTGTACATCACTCAAGATCTGGTGACCTGATTGACTGCTTCACTGTGTTCACTGTCTCTCCCACAGGTTTGGGAACCGAATCTTTGGCCCAATCTGGAACCGGGACAGTGTGGCATGTGTGGTTCTGACCTTTAAGGAACCCTTTGGGACACAAGGCAGAGGGGGATACTTCGATGAGTTCGGCATTATCCGGTATGTTGCACCACAAGTCTTTGTGCCCCTCTTTCCCATTGTCTGTAGAGTTTGTCTTCGTCAGAGGTTCACTGCTGAATTGACTGAAGCTGCTCTCTCTGTCCCAGGGATGTCATGCAGAATCACCTGTTGCAGATGTTGAGCCTGGTTGCCATGGAGAAGCCGGCCTCCACGAGCTCGGATGACGTCAGAGATGAGAAGGTGACTTACAGAGACTCTCTTTAAGAAGCTGTGGCAGCCTTAGAGACAGCATGTTTCTCTGCAACGTTCGCACACTGCAGTGTGTGTGCTGAGCCCTGTCTCTCCTGCAGGTGAAGGTGTTGAAGTGTGTCCGGCCAGTGTCGCTGGATGATGTTATTCTGGGCCAGTATGTGGGTGATCCCAATGGCGAGGGGGAAGCAAAACTTGGTTACCTAGACGACCAGACCGTACCCCGTGGGTCCCGGACAGCTACCTTTGCCACAGCTGTGCTGTTTGTCCAGAATGAGCGCTGGGATGGTGAGGGACTTTCTGATTGTCTGCCAGCCTGTGTCTCTGCCCTCCAGTGTCCTTCGTGCTGCACGGTGTTTGTCTGTTCCTAGCTCCTCCCCCTCCTCTCAAGCCGCGGTGCAGCGTGCCTCTACACCCATCTCCGCGTTCCCTCTCCTCCTCTGCAGGGGTGCCGTTCGTGCTGCGCTGCGGGAAGGCCCTGAATGAGCGCAAGGCGGAGGTGCGGCTGCAGTTCTGCGACGTCCCGGGCGATATCTTTGGCAAACACTGCAAGCGCAACGAGCTGGTGATCCGAGTGCAGCCCAACGAAGCCGTCTACGCCAAGATGATGACCAAAAAGCCTGGAATGTTCTTCAACCCAGAGGAGGCTGAGCTGGACCTCACCTATGGCAGCCGCTATAGGGTCAGAGAGACAGATGTTGTCATTTTGATGAGTAATAGACAGTGTCAGAACGAATGCTTTCTGCTTATCATGTTCTAACTTAAAGGAGACCACAAGGCTAATAATCATAATCTAAGCGTAATGTTAACATTCAGCACTAACCTCGAGCACCTGGCCCCTCAAACCCTACCTGCCCCCATGCAGGCAGTTTGTTTGGGCAGGAGGGGCTTTTGCTGATGCTCAGCTGCCTTGTCTCTGTGCTGCAGGACATGAAGCTGCCCGACGCCTATGAGAGACTCATCCTGGATGTGTTCTGCGGGAGTCAGATGCACTTTGTCCGCAGGTCAGTTTAGCTTGGACATGAATTTGCTCTGGTTTTCTCTTGCTGCTTCAGCTTCCTCCTGTCGTGCGAAGCTGAGCTGTCTAGGTTGGCTGGGGTCTCTAATTTGACTGGCTGTCCATCCAGGGTGTATCCAGCCTTGTGCTCATCGTCTGCTGGGTGAGGTTCCTGTTCAAAGTGGCCCGGTATTGTTCGGGTTTTTTTCTTAAATGCAGTTTTTGAAAATGTCTGGATGAATTTGTCCTTTCAAGACGAGCCCCTGTTTCCTGGAGTTCGGTCGTAAAGAGCTATGGGACAGGAGCACAGTGGGACTGGGCAGCATCTGGGGAAGGCAGTTAGGTGGCCGAAGGATGAGTGATGGAGGGAGAGGGAGACGCCAGGTAAGGGGTGGTGGGGGAGGAGAAAGTTGTGTGGAGCTGTCGTGCTTATTGCTATGAGGCTGTTCCTGGCTCTGGCAGTTTCCAGTACAGGATATCGGCAATACAACATGGAGACATCTGCAGCACAGTGACTGGAATTTACAGTGAGAACTTTTACAGGGAGCCATTCACATTTCTTACCAGAATCAAAGTCTAGAGCACAGCAGTCCATAGAGTTTAATAAACTGGCGAGGAAATATATACAGTAGTTGGTTCTGTTTTAAAGAAACATGGCGAACATCATGTCTCTTGTTAAAAGGGTGTGATAAGAGCCAAAACTAGTGTAAAGAGTGTCTTTGTGCAGATTAAGAATTGTTGAATGCACCAATAAAGGTGATGTAATTAGCAGAGCACTACAGAGATCTGTATTAGAATCTATATGATGAGTAAATTTGTGAAGTTTGCAGATGATAATGTAGTAATAAACTTTATTTTATATAGTGCCTTTTGAAGTTGGCTTCTCAAAGCACTTTACAGAATGACAACAGCAACAACAACAATTTAAAAATAAACAATAACAAATACACAAGATAAACACGGTGAGAATACGCAGAGGAGATTGTAGATGGTGGTAGAAAATACAGTAGGAGCAGGGGGGTGAAGAATGGAACCAGTTAAGTAAAGGCTCTTCTAAAGAAGAAGGTTTTGAGTCTGAATTTGAAGGAGTTTAGAGAAGGTGACCCTCTGATATTCTTGGGGAGAGAGTTCCAGAGCTTAGGGGCATACAAGGAGAGGGCCCTGTCACCCATACAATGTAGATGGGCTTGGGGGACAGTCAAGAGACTAGAATTAGAGGAGCGAAGGTTGTGAGATGGGGAGTAAGGTGATAATAGTTCAGACAGGTATTGAGGTGCCAAACCATGCAGAAGTCAACATGAAACTTGACAGAAAGCCAGTGCAAGGACTCCAGGATAGGAGTAATGTGATCACTTGCACTAGACCTGGTCAGGGTTCTGGCTGCCAAATTCTGGACATACTGGAGTTTGTTCAAAGTAGATTTAGATACCCCAGCGAGTAGAGCACTACAGTAGTCAATTTAGAGAACACAAATGTGTTGATCAGCTTTTCAGCCACAGTTAGTGATGTTTCTGAGGTGAAAGAAAGATTTTTGAACAATGTGCTGCACATGTGGGTCAAATGTTAAGCCTGAATCAACGATGAAACGATGCCAAACTGCACTAAATGCAGATGTTTTGTGAACACAAAATTGTCTGCCGTAGTCTCTGCCTCACCATTTTAATTGATTAATGCTTTCAGTATTTACATTTTGAGCAGATTTTATTGTCAGTTGCTTTGAATAAGCATCTGCCAAATGAATAAATGTAAACTCTGAGGAAGTGCGTTTAACACTGAGAACACAAAGGGTTGTGGGAGTCTGGAACACGTTTGCTCAGTGCTGATGCAATGATGTTGGAGCGAAAACCTTGGCTTCTTCCAAAAAGTGGCTGGATGAGATCCTCAGAGCGACTGTCTTCAGTGAAATGAGGTGGATAAGGTGAATGGCCGCTTCTCTTTTGTCTAACACCTTTGTTGTTATACTCTGCTGCCATCTGCTGGATTCACCAATGTAATACAGTTCACCAAAGCTGCACCACTGCTCTTCCCACCACTATTTAGGGAAATATTTACAAAAAAGAGGGGAAAATCCTAATGTTATCAAATCGGAAAAGCTTTAAAGTTCCCGTATAACAATTCAGAAAGATCAGTTTAGAACTTCAGCAGGGCCTTCCCTGAAGGAAAGCAACACTCTGGTGTCCATCTCTTCAAGAGGAGTGGGCCAGCAAACGAAGAGTGAGGTGCAGGCTCTCTCCAGCAGATGGAGCTCTGCTCTCATTTCACAGACAATCACTCCTGTGCATGAACTTGCTGGCTGAGTCACTGTACTGATTATGCTAAAAGGAGCAGGATGGCAGGTTAAAATAAAGCTAGAAGGGGATCTGTTGAAGAGCTTGTTGAGGATATGAAAAGGAAAGTAACAAAGACTGTGATTGTTCTTATCACTGTGAACTCATACCCACTGTGACTGAGCTGCAGGCGGTTAGTGTGTGCAAGAGGACCAGGGTCCTCGGCCGTCTCAGGCTCTGGCTTTGGTGAAGAATGGCAGGCAGCCCCAGTCAGACACCTCCGGCCACACTTCTCTTCCTCTGCTGTGACACTGGCGCTCTGATGGATTAAGCTCCAGCTCTCCCTATTAAACCCCACCCTTGCTGATTACTGTTATAGAGGTTTGCACAGTCCACAGGCTACGTTTAGCTCCACGTGCATCACGGTTAGAGCTGTGTTTCACTGCGTCACCATGAGCTCGGCGCTGATCCAGGTCAGCTCATTTCAAGGATCTCCATGTCGTTTCCTTTTCTCTTCACACCAGTCATCTGTCTTTACTTCCCCACACAGCGGCAGACAGATTCGTGTTCACAGAGCATCTGTGTTTGCACCGACCGGACTGCTGCTCCAGCACACACATCCAGCACAGCAGCTTCTCGTCCCGCTCTGCCTGGTGTATCATACAGGCCCTGGCACTGCAAGTTTGATAGTTATTACATGGATGCGGAAATGCTGTGGTAAAACCACACAGTTTGACTCTGCAGTCGTGGGCGGCTCTATAGTGCCTTCATATGGACGTATCAAAGGCTGTCATTGGAAACAGTTTTTAAGAGCTTCCAGCGCTGTGTAGCTTGTATGCAGGAGTTCTGGTCCGTACCTCCCCAGTTCCTGTTGTCTGTAGCTTTTCACACACCCACTGCCCATACCTCGGTCTTTTTTATTTTATTTCTTGCTCTTTCAGTCCTGTGTGTGCCTGACAGTGTCTCGTTATCTCCCCTGCAGTGACGAGCTGAGGGAGGCCTGGAGGATCTTCACCCCGCTTCTGCACAAGATCGAGTCTGAGAAAATACAGCCCCTCCCCTATACCTACGGCAGGTCAGTGCTGAGAGTGGGGCAGTGCAGCAGTGGAGAGAATACGCTCCTTGCAGCTCACTGTCTCAGTGTGACTGGCTGTTGCAGTACTGTGCTGGTCTGATGGGGGACCCAGGTTGAATATTTCGACTCTGTTGTGACTGCACAGTGTTCTTACACCTGCCAGGAGCACATTCTCTCCACAGCAACAGATTTAATGTTTGGGACAAATTAATTTATTAATGGGCATGCAAGAAGTTGACTTCACTATGATAATATATGAAATATATTTTCTGCTGAATAAGAAATACAGTATTTCTGTTTCACCCTGTGGTTCTCGGGTGATTTCTGAAAGTGTAAGAAAATGTGTTACATGTGCATGACCCAGAGGGAAGTAGGAGAAACTAAGGGGGATGTGCTGTATTAAACACATGTGGGACAGGAGACACTTCTTTACACGGAGGCTTGGGGTTTCTGTTTTCTTGTCCATTCTCGGTGCTGAAGCTGATACCTTGGCTTCAGGAAATGAAAAAAACACATCCTTAGATCTCTCTCTTGCTAATAATCAATCAAGCTAGATGGGCTGGATGATCTGCTCCAATTCATAACAGTTTTTATGAATAAAACCCATTATTAATAAAAATATCCACTTGTATTTAAGTGGGGATTTTTACCTCAAAGGTCACCAGAGCACTTTGGATACAGGAGAGGTCCCACCCACTGCACCGCAGATCAGGGCAAGTGAGGCACAGAGCTCTGAGCTGGCTTGAAGCCAGCAGTATAACATTGATTGTTTCAGTGTTACTTGTAACATTTGTATTAAATGGCTAAGAACTGTTAGTGTGACATAGTTTCAGCAGAAAAACTTCAGTTAAATCATGGTCTGAGTAACTGCTCTTACCTCCTTGAATACATTTGCTCTTTAGTAGTACAGAAATGTGGTTTGTTAGACAATATATGCACGTACTATCGGGTGCTTGATGTTATCCAGTTACTTCAGCTAAATGTAAAGATAATTATAGTTATTTGCCTTTTAAGAAATGCTGAGGTACTGTAAACCAGCCTAGTTTCCCTTTGTTCCCACAAAGATTGTTTCCTGGAACTCAGCTGAGTCTGAAATCCGACACTGGCGTGTCTATTGTTAGTGTGCAGCACCTGACTTACCTGAGTGGAGGAAAGTTAGATCAACAATGTGCTCTATGTTTTAACAATTGGGTATTCACCTGCGTTTCCTCTCGACCGTCACCTCCTGCCGATCGATGTGAGGGGGGAGCAGAACGCGGAGCGACAGGGAGAGGGGCTGCTAGGACACAGAGCCCAGTGACGCACAAACAGGTGTTCAGGAGATATGGACAGCAAACCCCCTGGCTTCTGTGAAGGGCTCTGCAGTGCCCCCCCTCCTGCCCCAGGAGCTCAGGGCTGTTTGCAGTGTCACAGTAGCACAATATACAGTAGATTACGTAGGTCAAGTCTGATTACGTCAGCAAGCGCAGACTGCAGAGGAACAAGTAAAGGTTTATTCCATGCTGAAAAGGGAAGAAAAGAAACGCAAAGCTGCTAAGTTCCGGCTTTGGGTGTGACGCTTGTCCTGAAGGAAATGTGCAGTGTTCTGTATGGAATTTAGACCGGGATCTCTTCCGAACATGTTTAGATGTTTAGATGTCTTTGTGGCACTAGCCTAATCACGAATGAGGGGTTGTGTACAGAACTCACTGTTTTCCTCTCTTTACCTACTTCCCTTTATCTGATTAATGAGGTAGCCTGTGTTAATGGATGAATTGGGAATTTGATTCAGTGAGCAGGGAGCAAGGGAGAAACACGTTTCTGTGCTTGCCGATCTGTCTGCCTGAGAGGCGCTGTGCTGCAGGCAGGGGAGGTGTGAGGGTTCGAGGTGTGTGAAGGGGGGTAAGCTGGTGCTTGTAGTGTGATGGAAGGGGGGTCTGGTGATGTCAGAGCACAGGAGAGTGAGTGTCTCTGCAGGCTGGTGTCTGTCAGTGTTGCTCTGTTTTTGGGTGATGCTGTGTCCTGAGCTTCAGGGCTCCTTGGTGTCTGTTGGTGCCACTGTGAGAGGTGGTGAGTTTCCTCAGCTATTCTTTGTGGACCTTTATAGTCCTCTCTGTGAGCTCCAACACCTCTCTTAATTCAGCTACATCTGCAGCTTTTGTTGCACTGTTGCATGTCTTTCATTTCAGTCCTCTGCTGTTTGAGTGCCGTCCTGGACTCGCTTACTTTTGCTATTTTCAATACCTTGTATTGTATCTTTTAGCTGCCTCTGTGAACCTTGCCAAACTAATTTCTTTGAACTCTATGAAGTCCAGGGTAGAGTGTTTCTTTCTCAGGAGCCACAGTGAGCTGTGGCCTGTGTGATCTGTAGCAACAACAGTGTGGTTTCTGGGGGAGTCGGGGGGAACTGTGTGTCTGAGCAGCGGTAGTGTGGACTGGGGCTGCTGTCTGTTGGTTGCTGTGTTTGCAGGCTCAGTGTCAGCTGGTGTCGGAGACTCGGCTTGGGGGAGCCTGGTGACGGGGTCCCCCCCTTATCTCTGGGGGTGGTTTCCCCAAAACTTGCATTTCAAATACAAAACAGCTAAACTGCAAGTTTTCATTCCCAAACATATTTTAAAAAAATTACATACAGGCTTTTTATAGGCTTTCTTTTTTGTCTTTTACCCTTTTTTATTCTTGGTCTATTTTTTTTTCATTTTTATTCCATCCGTTCTTTTTTCCCCTTATCTATACTTATTTCGTTTCTTCATTCTTTTGCATTTGATCTGTTTCTCTTCAGATGTTAGACCCTGTCTTAAGTCTGCAGCCCCTGTATTTCTCTGGATTATGCTGATGTTTGTGTTTTTCATTGTCTTTCGGAAGTATTCAGAGTTCTCTAGGGTCAGGTCTGCACTGTACAATTCCCATCAACAGTGAAGGTTTTAGAGGAGGTAGCTCTTCTTCCCCTGACCTCTCTCTGTCCCTCTCTCTCTCCTCAGCCGGGGGCCAGCAGAGGCAGATGAGCTGCTGAAGAAGGTGGGGTTCCGGTATGAGGGGACGTACAAGTGGGTGAATCCCCACAAACTGTGAGGGACACTGAGGCACAGGATGGGGGGGTGAGCTCCAGTTTACAGGCCCGACAGCAGGTTCACCATCATGATGATCAGGTCCACAGAGGTGCACGTGCTCAGGGACAGACACCAGGCTGTGGGAGAGGACGCTGTGCCTTAACTATCTGATATAAAATAAAGAAATCTAAGTTGCTGTTAAACCTGTGTGTTCAAAGCTAACTAAACAGTATTGTTTGTGCCACTTACTGGCTTGCATTCGACCAGATAAGCTCAATTTGTAAAAACTAGTCTGTCTTGTGTCATTTGACACATTCCAATTTACTGCCATTTAAATTTGACAGCTTCATAATTCAAATAAATCAGTTTTGGCCCCAACACTATGACTCACCCTCTGCCTGTGCATGAGAATGAACACATGTGTAATCGCTTACACACAAGATTTGTGCTTATTTAATGGAAAAACTTCTTATCTCGGTCATCTCTTCCCTAAATACTCCTATTGAGGTCTGAGCCCTCCTTTGTGCTGTTTAGCCCCAGTGAAACTGGACACCAAGCATGGTTTTAAAGTGCCCCAGTGCCCCCTTTGCCCTGCCTGAGACGGCAGTAGTGCTGTTTTCTGCCAGGGCACCTTGGCACAGTTCTGTTCAGGAATACAAGAGCACCCCTACAGCTGTTCAAGCCTGTAGTTCAATATACGTAGAAAAGAACCTTATATTCAAGACATTTTATTTTAAGTTTAATGGTTTAAAACTTGAATGTTTTTTTTAATAATGCAATCTGTGACAAAAAGTCACTAATATTTAAATTTGTTTGGGGCATTTACCCTATACCTTATATTTATTTTTTTAATGTTTTTCCATGATTTGTTATATGCAGTGACTGGTTGGTGCAGTACTGTACATGTCTGGTCAGTGGCACTGTGCTGTGACACTGCTGACCGGCTCCTCTAGGGCAGATGAGGAAATTAACTCCAATATTGCTTTAAAACACAAACCTGCATTTATACTTATATTTGTAATAAACCTCGATAAAATAAACAGCAATAAACCCACAGCCAGTGCTGTCAGTCTTAGAATTTGAAAAGCTTAGTATTGATTGAGGTTTGGAAAGTACTGCTGATTGATCCTGGAGCTCAGGAATCACCTGTCTTAATATAGGGGTTGGGGCTTTAAATCTTGCTTATTCTGACCAAAGCGTCTTAACCAGGGTCTTACTTTGTTATCAGTATTTTTACTTCAAGTGTAAGCAGCATTTATATTGTTGTACAAATATATACACTGATATGATATATCGGGATGGACAATAATATTGCTTTAAAACAATATTTTAACAAGGCCAGGACACATACATTCCTGTGCATCCAAACACTCCTCTTTAAACTTATGAAATATACCTGAAAATGATCAATCGCATGTGCTGAAGTACATTGTCAGTTTAGTTTTAAAACCTGTGTGATTTTTGCTGTCAAACTCAGGAGGACACCGAGTCCTGCAGGTCACATGCAGCATTCCTGCAGAATTAAAGGACCTTAAATCCTTATGGATCCCAGAAGCTATCTCATAGAATGATTTGAGGAGTCCTTGACTTTTGTCTTATGAAAGGGCTCTACACAGGAGCCTGCTTGAGGGCTCCCCAAGTCCTGGAGCAGAGCGAGTGTTTGAGAAGCTCCACTGGAGCAGTCAGCTGAGATGGCCAGCAGGGTTTCAGTGGTTCCCTCCAGCGTAGTGGCAGCAGTGAGGCCGAGCACACTGCTCCGTCCGGCCCAGGCAGGGGTAGGCGAGTCAGTATGACCTCTGCGAGTCCATTTTATAAACGCTGCATTTTTGTTTTCAATGCAATATTTAGCATAGGTGCTTGTCCGAATGCAGTTTTGGCCTCGCAGCTCAGAGATTACCCATTCAAACCATTCCTCCTCCGCAGGTGCAAAGAGATAAAGTCCAGCCGATTAACAACTGGCAATTCCCAATTGGAGGCTGCAAAAAAATCCAACTAATTATTTCTTTAAAAAATTAAGTGGGTACCAAATATTTTAAATATTTTATAGATAAAAATACTGGGATCTTTTTTTTCCAATTGTGTTTGTAGTTGAAATATATGAGAATTTCCCTGTATGTGGGAATGGAGGAAGGTACTTGGTCTGACTGGTCTGTCTGGTTTCCAGCAGCTGATAAAGCGCTCTTGAGGAATTTCAGTGACTCAACCACTTCCTCAGGCACAGAGCAAATGTCTCTGATATATTCCTTGTTACACCATGATTCTCTACAGTGGATTTTGAATAAAGTACCATAAAACGTTCGAATCTTTAAGAAATCAATGGACAATGTGCTGCAGAGCAAGGCTTGCTTGATGAGCAGGAGAAGGGATATTCGTAGCTCATAGGGTAAGACTGTGCAGCCTCTCCATTCTCGCTGCTGCTGTGTTTCTGGCAGTATATTAGCATTTTCATAACAATACAAAACTACCTGCGGTTTTTGAGAGTTTTTTTGTGTATTAGAATCCTTTAATAATTCTTTATTAAAGCTTCAAGGAAATAATGTAATAAGAACCGCACGGGTGGTGGTCTACATTTTTGCTACTTTTAGATTTGTTTTTCTTTATTTGCTTGTTCTGGGGGTGTTTGATGGCCCAGGCAGTGCTGGGGCTCTGTGGGTAGTGGCAATAAGGTGTCCCTGCTGGAAGTCAGCGTTTTAGTTCACTGAACTGAAAGATAAACAGCCAACTCATCTCCAAGTAGCCGGCTTTTCTAACCAACGTCAACGTCGCCCAAACGCTGACTGGAACTTCCAGACCCTGTCCTAAGGGACGGGTGTCTGGAAGGAAGCTGTGTGGAAGCAAGTTAAAGTTTTAGGATGATTGCAATCCTGGTATGGCCCTGTCGTTGCTTGATTTGATACATTACCCTCATGTGAATGAATTGCCTTGATCTTGTGCAGCTGAAAGGCTGTATCGCTCATTGAGCCAGCTCTTTAGTCTCCTTCCCTCTTCCTCTAACAGACGGGGACACCTTGAAATACAGTGGCAAGACTGAGCCACCAGGGTTGCAGGAGGTTTCTAGGTTTCATGTTTGCTGAGCTCTTAATTACTTTGTGAGCTAATTATTTCCTAACTTTTCTAGTGTTAACCAGCAGTGATTTTAATGATGCTGGTGTTGATTCACACCACAAACCTCACACTGCCTGGAGCCTGCAGTTTTGTAACAGAATTGTTTTTGCATTTTGTATTTTTTTTTTTTTAGAAAAGGAATAGATTTTCTGAAAAAAAGTCTTAATAAATAGCTTCAGCTCTGGAGCAGCTTTGTGTGTGTGGTGTTTCTTCAGCCAGGAAGCCATGGGCTGGTTGCTCAGGATTTAGTGAATCATAAACTCAAAACTGCATCACAGCAAGAGTTTTCCCCCTTCAGCCACCAGCAGAAGCAGGGCCGTGAAGTGAGCACTCCAGGAATTAAATGATGGCATCTATATGAGCAAGCACTCAGGAAGAAGCGTACTGAGGAGGAGGAGGCTGGTCCTGCCTGGGCTACCGTGATGATAGAGGCCACTCCTGATCTGACACCCCAGTCCATAACAGGCAAAGTGAATTCACAGTTGGGGTTCCTTGAAGCCATTAACACACTCTCCCACCCCTCCTGCTAGGTCATGGTCTCATGATGTAACCCAAGTATCCTAAACGCTTTCACGCTAAACGCTGCTGTCTGATAAGAAGTCTCTTGTTTAGCCTCTGCTTTGAGCCCACCTTATAGTCATTACAGTGATGTTACGGTCTTGTACTCTAACCCATTTTATGGTCTCAAGTGAATATTAGAACCAATAGCAGCTGTGGTGTATTTAATTCTTTCGAGTACAGAGATATATGCCTAAAATAGTAGAAATAACATACACCAGGGGTGTCCCTCCTGTCCCTGGAGAGCCACAGTCCAGACTGTTGCAAGTCAACATTAGTATCCAATTTACAAAATACAATAAGAAGGTTTAATCTGCTTCATGTAAATTGTGTTCAAGGAGTTGTTAGCTCATGACTCATACTTTCTTTTGCAGAGGATTTAAAACGGTCATGTTAGAAAAAACTCGGGGTGAGATTTGGCTTCATGTATTTGAATATCCTACAGAATGCAGGATGTCCTGTCTAGTCGGTCTGCAGCAGAGTTACACTAGTGGCCAGCATGTGTGTGTGACAGCGTAGCGTGAAGACAAAAGGCTAGACGAATAGAATGTATTTGTTTCAAAAGGCACAATTTAATTCCTATTTTATTGCGATTTCAAATTATAATACACATTTTTACAAAGCCACATACACATTTGATTAAACAAATGGACAACACCTACATCTATAAAACAATATTAAAAAAGTCCTGGAGAGGAATGTCTTACGGGGATCACAAGCACATGGAAGCTCAGCCCGAATGTGACCGGCCCCCTGGCCCCGGAGGGGCACAGATCTGCCAGAGCTGATCTCCTTCAGAAAAATAGCCCGTCTGCAGGTTTACAGAGTTTATTGCAGTGTGGGCCTGCCCTCGTTGAAACTCTGATGAACCCCTGATCATCTTCCTCTCTTAAGAAGGAATAGCAATGGAAGTAAAACAAAGACAAAGAAAGGGTCTTCTGCCGAGCACCATAAAAATAACAGTCCACTGAACCACTGACGAGAGAGAAATGGCTCAGGAGACAGTCCTTCACATTTTCGTGTCACTGCGCTGAGGTGTCAACAGCTGTGAACTTCCGGCACAGGTGAACCCCTCCAGTCTGGCCGTAGGAACCCAAGGCTCTCAGTGCGTGTCAGGTGACCCAAACCCACTAACAGCCCTTTCCTGGTGCAGCCCTGTGTCAGCACAGCCCCTGTGGCAGCAGCAGTCCCCCAGAAGCAACGTTTTCTCGCAGCTCTGCAGCAGGTGGGCAGGTCACCTACAGAGCAGCCGCACATCCTTGTTCTTCTTGCACGGCCCCTCAATCCCACGAGCAAACAGTCGGATTAGCTGGCAGTGCACTCTGGAAGCACAGACACACGGCTCTGGTCAGCTCACGCTCGCACATGCGCACACGCGCACACACACCTCTGGCCAGCCCGCACAGATGAGGGCCCTGCCACAGACAGCTCACCTGGCCAGTATAGCAGTGTGTGGCAGCACCTCTCCATCGCAGTTCCAGCAGGAGCGAGAGCGAACGTCTCCACAAACCCCACACAGGACCTGCTTCTTCCTTCTCTCCAGCCTCTTCTTCGCCGAGCCGCTGTCTCTCTCTGCCACTGGCTGGTACTTACACACGTCAGCTGTGGGACTCTGTTCTTCATCATCTTCATCATCCTCCTCTTCATTGGGAGGAGAAAACCTCAGTGCCTTGACTCGGTAGACATCGACAAAGGGGAGATCAAACTGCCAGACAGAGAGAGAAGGGTCAATACACACCAACTACACACTGATACTGTCCTG